AGGGCTAAAGTTCTAAAGTGCTAAAGTTCTCTCTGTATAGAGGCTCATTCAACACGCCACTGCAAACAATCTAGGAAGATATTTCTATCTATTCTGCGTTCTATGACCGCATCAAAATGCTGTTTGACATTCAATTCTCAAGGTAGTACCCTGTATATTCAAATGCATTAAGCGAAACAGCTTCCCCAGTCTGTTGTATTTACATGTCAGCACGCTCCTTTGGTGTCAGAAATATAAAAAGGAATCCGTCAGTCCTCTCATCAAGGCGGGCCTTCAGTTCGGACGTCAATCACTCTGCACCATGTACTGGAACCTGGCTTTCTCCCCGGTACGGTAGGGGAACGAGTGAATGACGTCCTAACTGAAGACCCACCTTGATGAGAGGACTGACGGATTGCGTTTTCATTTTGACACCAGTGGAGCTGGTGACAATCATATCCCCCTTCTAACACTTTCCATTTCAAACCAGTGAGGAAAGCACAGGATATGTTGCCATCATGAGTCGTGAAGATTGACTCAGTTAAAACCCTTGCATTTACATAAATGGAACTTCTTTTTCAAAGTGTTAAAACCGGCATTAACTGATTTCCTGTCAACACATAGTTAACACAGAGCGACATTAGCATTCACTTGAAGTGTTCACTATTCACTCTTTTAGCTTTATTTCTACCAACTCCTAAAGCTAAATACCCGTTTATGTTCACCAGCTACCTGCTAACTTTGTCTGCCGTTTGGACTTTGCCACCACAGCTGGAAACGACAGTAGGAGAGCTGTGAGAGTGAACCAAAACATTAAAGCCGTTAAACAGAAACAATCTGCTGAAAGACGCTAAAACGCTCCGTAGAGATGAAGGGAGTTTGGTGATGATTCCCTGTGAACGACACCTTCTACATCACAGTCATTTGATCCATTGTCAACAAAATAATATTATACAGATCAGCTTTAAACACATTTTCTTATCTCATGTATACACATATTTTATAGTTTTATAAATCTATTAAATTACATGTAGGATATTTTTACAGTGTTCTTTTAGCTGCTGATGGCATTAATTATCTTCTGTTCGACGTAAGAAATGTGCGTGAAGCTGTTATTTTCACACGCTAAAGGAGCATCCGACAAATCATTTCCTTCAGATAGTGAACGCAACGGTTGTGGGTTCCCTTGTGGGCACAGAAACACCTCCGTCTGTGAGAGTTATCAACACCCCGACTTCGGTGTGGAGTCGACGTGCAGTCCTGTGCTTGTTTCCAAACTGGCTTCTCCTCCCGACCGATAGAAACGGCATCCAGAGCGATATACGTCATCGATGGCGCCCATTGGAACAACGCGAGGCGGAGCTGCGGCAGCGACGCCATTCTTCAGACACGCCGCGATGAAAAGCAACTTGAAAACACATGTATATACAACTTGAAATAAAGATTAACTAAATAAGATTGCCGTCGATACAGATGGGCTGCTTCGTCAGCGGCATAAATAGTTTCCATCAAGGCTTTTATCATGAGCCTGACTGTGTCCTTGATGGTAGGGAGTGAATTAACAAGGCAGATATCGATCGTTTGCTGCGAGTTTCCTCTGTAGCTGTTTGATGGTGATTTAGAGAGCGAGAGAGAGAGAGAGAGAGAGAGAGAGAGAGAGACAATTGGGGAGAGAGACGGAGAGAGGCCCCGATCAATAGTGTTTGCAGGTCTGCTGTATGGAGAAAGGTGACACACAGCGAGAAGGTCATGAACGAGGCGTCGGATTGATCGGTGGCAGAATGCGAGAAGCTGATTTAACTTTACCTTCTGGAACAACCACGCATGATCGCACGCGGTGTGTGTTGCCGGAGATTGTGCCATTATGTGGCAGAATCAGCGTCTCGCGCGTTCACGCAAACCTCCCAGAGATCAGATTTTGGGCGCGATCGATCAGGGAATCCGAAAACATCGAAAGTGTTCCCACTTTGTCCCGTTCAGGCGTGAAAGACTTGAAAGCCATTTAGGGCATAAGCAGAGAGCTTAGGCACTGGCGTGGAATAAACCGGGGCGAATGGCAGATGATGTTTGAGAGACGGATGGTGGACAGGGCTTGTTTTCAGGTCATCAAATAACCTAGTCGACCAACGAACAGCTATAGGCAGAAGGCAAAGATGGTCTCAGCACCGTTTCTTCTTTGGATATGCAGGGATTTGACAAGAACACTGAATCATTTAGAAGCACCTGAACATTTAAAGCTGCTGCAACAGTCCGCCGAACATTTAAAGCTGCAGTAATCCATATTTCTATATAAATAATAGATCAATGTGTAATATGAAGGGGGGGTCACTTTTGGTTACGAACCCTGCCCTATCGAAGGGTGTTAATACAATTGAAAAATAATTCATGCATCCGCTCAAAACTTTTAATGGGTTTGCCCTTGGCCCATACTACACCCTTACGCTAAGTTTAATGAAAATCTGGCCGGTAGTTTTTCCGTAATTCTGCTGAGAAACTGGCACAAACAAGGCTTCAAATAAATGTTGCTGTGTGTCTGCTGGATGTGTAAAAAGGTGATAATATGTCGGTGTTGTTTCCAGCATGTTGTCTGTCAGACAAAAAAAACCCAATTACAGGTCTTAAGAAGACGTCACATTTTTGGATGAGATGTTTCTGTTGGAAACCCATTTCTGGATCAGAAGGGATGGATCAAGGAACAAATGCTCGTGCCACTTCCTGTTCCCTGCATGAGAAACCCTCAGCCACTCAGCTGACGAGTAATTACTCCCGACCTTCACAATCTGAACCCGGCTTCTGTCCCTGACACGAGTAAGAGGAGAGCTTTGACATTTGCTGCTCTTTATCAATAGGTCACGATGAAAGCGCAGACGCGGAGAGGCGGGGCTGCGTGGATATTTATCGATCCGGGCTGTCTCACGGTTAGCTGCACGGATAGATGATAGGCACGGGGAGGAGGAAAAGACTGAGCCGCTTTCCAGGAAGTACAACAAATGGTCCGCTTTGAGAGGCGCTTGTGTGCGTGTCCATTCATCTAGCGCTGGCCGCTCAACCCGGCAAAGATGGCAGGGTAATTCACTTAGGTTCCACTGTGGATGGCCATTATCTCCGGGTGGCGGGCCTGCCTGCGGGTGTGTTCCGCCATGATATCATCATGCACTCACTTAAGTACATATCACTCCTGATTGATGGCATCTGCCGTCTGGCAATAAGTGCTAAATCGTGGACCTTTTAAGGCTGTTGAGCTGTGCACTCTCTGGTCGCTGGCTACTGCTCCCTCAATCTAATTTCTCAGTTCAGCAAATCGAAACAATCGCAGCTGCTCATATTGTCAAAGCACCCATCTTTACATCGAATACATAGCGGATTCAGAGCGAAGGGACTTAACTGATGGCGATCAATGTGTTTTAACAGAAGGTATCATGTTTGCGTGATGTACCTTTAATGGGCATCGGTGACGCTTCACGACATCCTTTCCTTTTATTGTTTCAATTCATCCTTTGCTAAAAATGTAAAAGAAAACATTTTTTCTTGAGTCAAACAAAGGAATTTCTGCAAAGGGTCTTTTCTCATAATAATCAAATCAGAAGCTAATAGGACCGTTATGTCTGCATTGAGAACAGAACCATTATCTCTCACAAAGAGTGCTTTGTTTTTCCAATTTCCATATGCAATCACTGCATTATAACGATAATAGGCTGCAAGTTCAGCATCGCAAATTGCCAATTGTTCTACAAATCAGTGCAGTGAGCTGAAACATGTAGACTGTGGTTGTTTATGGTTTGGATAGTTATTGACATGATCAGTTTTCAGTCCGCCACGCTTTGCTTATAGCTTAGATGTCCCTTTGGACGTTGCTGTTAGCCTAGCAATTTGTTGGCCGTAAACTCGGCAATTGCTTATTTTATATTCGTGGCACTCTTTTTTTGCAAGAATGGTCTATTAAGAGACTAAATAAGACTAAACACAGGGTTAAGTCCACCGAGACTATCAACTATCAACATACTGTTGGACACCAGCGGGCTAACAGGTCGTCGAAGACAGAGGAACGAGAACAAGGGGAACTGTTCACTCCTGTACAAAGGGTTGAGAAGAGAATTTTCCAGAGCGGCATTGCTGTAAAACGTCCTTGCATGTGAATTCTTTATTTAACCGTTGAATTGAAGCTCCCAGGAAATAAACCGCAGCCTTGAGGAAAGAAAGAAATAAAATGTTCAGCTTTTTCATCGGGGCTTTATATCTGGTCGGGGTCTGACATCGTGAGGTCACGGCGGCACAAGACGAACATTTTCAATTTCCCTTTTATCTTTGAAAACAGCAGAAATTCTTCCCCGGCACCGACTCCTTTAGTCACCTCGCCGCTACGCCGGTCATCTCTGAACTCAATAGATAAGAGAGAGCCGTGTTTGTTGGTTGAAAAGGTGTTTTTTTCTTTTCCTCACAGCTGAGTTACGGCAATTTGTTTTGAAGTGTTGTTCATGGCAGATCAGAGGAACACGAAAGGTGCCGGAGTGGAGGGAAAGGAAAAGCCATTACCAGTGGAAGGCAGGGGCACGCTGCAGTGAGAAAAACAAAATTAATTACACATCTGCACGATATTAAATGCAATACCTGCTAGGTCTGCATTGCTTTCTATGTCCTTCTCAAACAACCTCCGACTCAATCGATGGTGTTTTTCATTTAAACCCTAATCACACACTCTCAGTGCACTGTATATGCTAGGGGTGTATCGGCTCTCCAAGAAAAAAGTTTAAAACATTACTCAAAGTGCAGCTGCAGGCTGCCGGTGTTATGTCGAAGTCTGTTCCCCTGTTGAATAGTGTTTCCCTCCTGGTAAAATGATGGTGCATCCCTCTGTGGTTTAGGGATAAGGGTTGGTTTAGTTTTAGGAGAGGGGAAACGCACATCGATGGGGAAACAGTATTCGACACCGGTAAGCTACGCGGTGTCGTCTTTTCGGATGCGCACAAGTAGGCGGCTACTTAGACGCATCATCTTATGTATCTCGTTTCCTGTCTCCGCAGGAATTTCTACTACATCACCATGCTGCGTGACCCCGTGTCACGCTACCTCAGCGAGTGGAAGCACGTGCAGCGAGGGGCCACCTGGAAAACCGCCCTCCACATGTGTGACGGCCGCCCGCCCACCCAGGACGAGCTCCCCGCCTGCTACAGCGGCGAGGACTGGACCGGCGTGCCCCTGGCGGACTTCATGAGCTGCTCCTCCAACCTCGCCAACAACCGGCAGGTGCGCATGCTGGCCGACCTCAGCCTGGTGGGCTGCTACAACATGTCGTCGGTGAGCGAGCTGGAGCGGGGCCGCGTGCTGCTCGCCAGCGCCAAGGCCAACCTGCGCAACATGGTCTTCTACGGCCTGACGGAGTTCCAGCGCAAGACGCAGTACTTGTTCGAGCGGACGTTCGGCCTGCGCTTCATCCGGGCCTTCACGCAGATCAACAGCACGCGCGCCGCCAGCGTGGGCATCAGCGAGAAGGTGCGCTGGCGCATCGAGGGCCTGAACGCCCTCGACGTGGAGCTGTACGAGTACGCCAAGGAGCTGTTCCTCCGGCGCTATCAGCACAACCGCCAGAGGCAGCACCAGGAGGAGCGCGAGAGGAGGTGGCAGGAGAGGCAGCAGAGGCAGCGGCTGCACAGGACCTATCTGGCGGAGCTGTGGAGACTAGGAGGAGGAGGGGAGGAAGAGGAGCAGATGAAGGAGCTGGAGGAGGTAGCCACCACAGAGGACTACAGCAGCCAGGTGGTGAGGTGGTGAGGACGCGGGAACTAAACGACACCGAACTAACTGATCGCTGTTGGACTCATTGCGCTTTACTCTCCTCTGCTGTGAATCTGCCAAAAACCTTCCCGCCCTCATAGCTCTCATGTCGGACAGCCGAATGGTGTCTTACTATTTATGATGGATGTATTTGTCATGGCAACATTTTGTATTTTTTTTTTTTGGTTTTTCCTTTCTTATGGGAATTTTTGGCAATGCAGTCGTGAATTGTATTTCATTTTTTTCCCCATTAGCCTTGAATGTTCTTCAAAGCTCACGATTAGTAGAACTGAAAAATTGAAAAAAATTAAAAACACAAGGAAGGCCAATTTTTAACGCGGTGAAAGACCCTGAAAGGACCCTCTGTGTCATGTTTGTGATCTCGCGCCGTGTTGATCAGTGAAATCTCGTTGTGACTCTGTGGTGTTCGGCTTCGTAAGAATATCAAAGCACAAACTTGGCAAAATAGTCTGCCGTGTGTTTTCTTTCTTTCCTTTCCTTTCTGACTGATTAAGAAAGGCAATTTTCCCGCAGGAAATGTGTACAATGAAAATAAATATGCAGCCTCCCGTCATGTAAATTTGTCCTTGATGGACTCTCTCTCTGGTCCGCATGTGTACACGGACGTGTTCTACCTTGCTCCCCCTGTTTTTTGTTTGTTTTCACAGCATGTTTTCACCATAAAAATCTGAAATCTTCATGCCGTGTGCCGACTTCTTCCACATCCACGCAGACACACTGACGCTCCGACCGCCGAGGCCTGAGAGAGGGCCGGTGCTCCTACGTCACAGAGACAGAGAACACTGGCCTTTCCACCATTAGGGCATTGATCACGGCCTCTTCGCTTCCAAATCGATCATTTAAAGTTCAATTGATAATAGAAGAAACCAATTGGCTTGCTGAATGCTTTCCCCTCCTAATAATCTGACAAACAAACAACTGCTTCAACACATTTCTACACACGCGCCTTTAGAGACGTTAGGTGGTTCACATTAATGTCCCGTTCCCCGTGATGAGCACTTCCACCTATGTTTATTCTTTTTGCTCATGAGGAGGAAGATGAGATCAGTCGAGAGGCAGAGAAGGAAACGGCTGTGTCCACAGACCAAAATAGCCCCTCCATCCCCAGCTGCATTCTACTCGCACAGCATGCAACAGAGAAAGATTAGAATTACATAAGCCTGCGATAATGATGCCGGATTTCACTTCTTCACGCACTCATGCACACACAGGAGCAACAGACGCCTTATAATGTTACATTAATTCCATCTCTTCTATCAGAGCTGTGCTATTTGACGCGGCGTACCGATTGTCTTGAATTGAACCATAAACCGGGTAATGCGGCAGAGCGACACGTGGCACCCAGGACGGAGCAGTTTGCAGGAAGGGATAGACAGTGTAACAGCTTCCTCTATATGCGGACTGCGTCTCTCTGTTGACAGGGGGAGTTTGTTCCGGGAGGTTTCCGTTACATGAAGATTTTTGTTTTGCTCTTTAAGATTTGCTGTCGGTAGTGCAACGTTTTTTTAGATTCCAACCTTTTTGGTTCTTCTGTCGCCAGCCCTCACGGAGAGCAGTGTGCCGCCCGCCTTGTTAGCTCGTTGGGGGAAGGTGAGAGCATCTGCAGAGAGGAGAGCTCAGACGCAACCTCGGAGTCTTTCACAGATCAGTAGCTGCGGGAGGTGTCGGGCTGTAAAATCCGGGGTTTATCACACTGATGGGGGAGACAAACGCAGCAAACCGTGATGATGGATGTCGTTTTAAAATTGCCAGCCATTTCTAAGGTATCGGGGAATCAGGAAATGGAAAAAATAAAAGAAAGGAGAAAAAAGTTAAATGATAAATTGGGATAAAGTGACCTTCCTCTCGAGGAATAAAATAAAGAAAAAGCATGGACCCTGAGGGAGTGGGGTAATGTTTAGGGAACAAAAACTCAGACTATCAGAGATTAAAGTCGTAAATTTACAAAACAAATTACAAATTGATCGAAAAAAACAGAAGAATTGTGTTTTTTTTGTCAAGTTACCAGATTGCTTCACTTTGCAAAAGTTGGACAGACGCCACCAGTAAACAGGGAGTGCCACACGCGCGTTATTGTGGAGGTGCAACAGTATGGAACATGTGATATCCTTGCAATACGTTTTATATTGCGTTGTAGTTCCTGACACACAAAAGTTATCGCCCGATCCTCAGCTTGATGCAACTTTGCAAAGTAAAACCGTTTTTTTTTTTTTTTTATTCTTGTCAATTTACAACTTCAATATCAGAGAACATTGAAGCTTTTCTCGTACATTTACGACTAAGTTTCTTCTCGGGATACCACTCCCTTCAATGGCCCTAATGTATATACGTTTTATAGGATTATCAATACAACTCAGTAACAAATACAGAGGGAACATAACAAACTGTCTCATAGGACACTTTATATGAGACAACATTACAGCAGGCTAACGCTAGGCTACAATGAGCTAGCTCCCTACAAATCTTTAGAAGTCTCCACTACTCAATATTTATTTTTATTTTAACATGCCAATCATGCAGTAAACAAGTGTGGTGTAGTACACTAAGAAATGCCATTGTAGTTTAAATATGAAATGCCCCTTTGGTGTAATATACAACATGTTCTAAAACGGTTCCACCTTATCTTCTAGGAAAACTGACCGGAAATGTGAAAAAGGAAATTGAAACCTTCTATAACTAAGACTATATTCGTGGCTGCAAACAAAAGAATCCATTACATTGTTAGTCAGGTAAGTTATTCTTGGGTGTAGACAAAGGTCTAATGCACTTCTGCCAACTTTAACCTTGAGTCACTTCTATTTACATTTCTGTGGTTGGCACACAAAACCATTTGTTGTCTCTGGGAAGTACGCAATGAAGAAACCACGGCTTTTGTGCAGCGTTCCCCGCATTGTGGACAGTCGTCTGTCACGCGGGAGGCGTGTAGCTGCTGATGGCCACGTGGATCAGCGACTTGGCCTTGGTGCGCCTGTAGTCCCAGTAGAAAGTGCTGAGGAAGGCCCTCCTGAACTTGTCACCTGAGAGAGTGTACAAAACCAGGTTGAAAAACGTGTTGAGTCCCGCCAGAGGCCTGGAGACGGTGTACGCTGCACGCACGATACGGTCCACCAAGCATGCCGTGTGCTCCGCGTTCTTTCGGGTTTCGATCCGCAACACGCGCAAGACGTGATACGGCAGGAAGCACACCACGAACACCACCAGGATCAGCACGGTCACGCGGCGCGCTCGCACCCGACACGGGCTGCTCGTGTAGGGCCCTCTCGCTAGCTGTTTCACGATGCCGATGTAGCACAGGAACACCACCACCAGAGGGAGGAAAAACCCGATCGCAGTGAGCAGCCAGCCGTACCACCGCACGTCGTCGACGGGTATGGTGCTAGCAAAGTCTAAGCAGTGAGTCTCGTTGTCGCGCTTCTCCAGGGATATCAACGACAACATGGGCGCGATTTCGGCAGCGGCGATGAACCAGACGGCCGCACACGCGATTATGCCCCAAAACTTCTGCTGCACATGCGCCGCCCTCAGGGGCTTGGTCACCACCACGTAGCGGAAAACCGCGAGACACGTCAGGAAGAGGACGCTTCCGTACAGGTTGAAGTGAAACCCGAAGCGCACAAAGCGGCACATGAAGTCGCCGAGCGTCCAGTCCCCGGTGCTGTAGTAGTGGACCAGGAAGGGCATGCTGAGGACGTAGAGGAGGTCGGTCAGCGCCAGGTTGACCATGATGATGCTGCTGCTCCTCCAGGGGCGCAGCTTCGTCACGTAAATGCAAATGGCGGTCACGTTGCCCACCAGGCCCACGATGAAGATGATGGCGTAGGTGACGGGCAGGAAGTAGCGTGTCATCAGTCGGTCCACGTCGGTGCAGTTGCTATGTTCCATGGCTGTTGAGTATGAAAAGCAATTTTACAAATCACGTTTAAAAATATATGCTCAAAAAGGGGGTGTGACTTCATGATAGCTTAGCAACATTTCCACAGATTAGCCATTATGTTGTTGGCTGACGAAAAAATAGACTACAAGCAAGTCATCATTTCCCTTTCCCTCTGTGATTGTCAATTATTGCTGGAGGAAGGAAGGCGAGAGCAGTGGGGGTGAACGCAGAGGCGAGCAGACCGGGAGAGAAACAAACACTCAAGCAAACTCAGTGGGAACGAAGCAAACAAAAACCTCCTTTCGCTCAACAAACAGGCTGCTTTGTGAAAAAGCCTCTCAGGATACACGACTACGGCATCCCGGTGAGATGGCAGCTTCCTGTAATGCTGTCAGTGCGATGTGCTCTCATTATAGACGTGAGGAGATGCGAGAGGGGTCACTTACACATTGCATGTAGAGTCAGATTTCAAGGACATAACTTGTCCTCGTTAAAATGATCACATCTATCCAAAAGCTCATTTCAGGAGTGTTGAAGAGAGAGGCTGAGTTATAAAGGCACAGTTTTTAAAAGAAAATGTATTTTTCTACTCACTTTGAGCTACAGTGTCCTCGTCGGCGCTCACTCCAAGACCTCAGAGTCTCTTCTCTGTGTTTTCACAACCATCCCTCCGTCACTCCTCCTCCCACTCTCTCGTCTTCCCTCTTCCCTCTTCCAGTCTTCCACGCCCAGGAGGGGGAAACTCCAGCATAGTTTAGTCTGAAAGGCCGCTGTTGTGTGCTTCACCTTCGGCCACCTGCACCGTAGCTTCCTGCTGTCATGCTTGAGCTGATAAAGCTCAAGGTTCGCTGTATTGGCACGGATCAGGTTTCAGGTGACTTTGCAGCAGCAGAAGAAGGGGAAGGCGAGTCTTTTTTCTTTTGTTGAATTAAAACTCTACAGTTCAACTTTTGTTCAGAGACATAAACTCAGGCAATGTTCTAGCAGCTGGCATTTCTTCACACAGGCATGAGATCACCTCCGTGTGAATGTAGGGCTAGATTTAGCACAGACAGTGGTTTCTGATTAAAGTAATGAATAAATGAATGTGGAGGAAATGTATTGTATTTTTTATCAACCATTAACTACGGAAGCCCTGAACCGGGCATAATAGTTTTATTTTTTTTTTTTTAAATACCTCTATCTCGAGATCACAAGTTAAATATGACGTTTTCTGTAGAGAAAACAAGCTTCGTTATTTCGAGATAACGGCATAATTAAGTCGTTATCACTAGAAAACACGAGGTTGTTTACCTCGTGTTATTTGAAACGTTTGGGTCAAAGCGTCGGTGCATCCAAGCGGCCAAGAAGAGCTGAAAATAATCAAGATCTCAACAAGGGCACATACAAAATGCATATCAGTGTTCATGAGTGTAATGGCATCATTTACACATCTCTTTCGCAGCTGCAGGTTAAATGTGGTGTAAACTCCTCCCGTGTCATCCTCCTGTGACCGTAAGTGTAAGAACATGTGAAAGACACCGTTGGGATTCAGTGTGTACTGCGTAGGCATACCTCAACGTTTCCAGGTCACGTTTTGTCGTCTCCACTTCTTGAACTTGACCCGCAGTCGCCCGCCGTCATGTTGACGCAGGCGTGGAAGATGATTATGCTGCGTTTAAGTGTTAATACGTACCTGCTATTAACCCAGCTCCATTTCCTTGTTTACCTGAAAGTACAAAGAAGCCGACAAAATATACATCTCCTCTGCCTCGGCCGCCCTCGACGTGTTGATACAGGCTCTGTAATGTCACTTTTCTGTAGATCACACAAAGTCAGGAAGAGTAAAAGAAGCAGAAGTTTACAAATGTTTATTTTACAAAAGAAAAAGAAAATGCTAGAAATGGTGTAAACAGCTTTATAGATCAATCTAAAGAGTGTTTTTTTTCCTTTAATACAGTCTTTGAAGCAGCAGCAGGAGCGAGTGTTTACAGATTGAAATCAAATCATCTGAGTTCAGAGAAAGATTTATGTCAAAGATCAACTCGGCACACAGGAATCTGAGTGCCGAGGATGAGACGCCTCGGAGGCAGCTCGCTGGGGGATGAGGTGGGTGTCAGGAGGTGTTGATGCAGGGGGGGGGGGTTAAGAAAGAAAGAACATAGTTCTGTCTACAGTTTGGGCATCCTGGCAGCGTTGAGGCGCATGGACACACAGGAGGAGCCGGCAGCGTAACGCATCTCCCTCAGCATCCCGCTCCACTGCTTCTTATCGTCCTCGTACCTGACGAGACCAAGAGGACGGTCAGCGGTACCCAACACATGTAAAAACCCGTTGTCCCATAACTTGAGAAGACTTACTGCCAGACGTCAGTGACCTCCATGGGGACCACCTCCTTGTTCTCCTCCTGAACCATCGTGAAGCCGCCCACGGCGTACAGCGAGCCGCCGTTGGTCAACAGGTTGACGGAGCTCCTCTCTTGGGGAAAATCTGCGAAGGCCTCCCACCTGAGGAGATGCGACATTAGGAGAAGGTCAGGTGTAAGATGGAGCTCTCGCTTTAGATGTCTTTTTTGTGGGATTGTGAGATGCGGGATATGGAGTCCCAACAAGTTAAATAGTATATATAAATAAACAAGACAATATGAAATAACTTACAGGTCAATAAACTTTATTTCATAATGGTGTTTTCTCTAATGACACATTTATTTCATGTCACATTTTAGTGCATAATGTCACGTTTCATAATACTGCTCATCTCTTAGCCAGCCATGTGCCCCCTGCCTCTCTTAAGCTAGAAGGCTGCTTCCAAAATTAGCCTGTTAGCTCCTGTTAGCTACAACAATGCAGAAGTCATTCTGACTCAATGACCCGGAAGCTGCTGCTGTAAGTGAACTCTAAGACTAAGCTCTGTTTTAATTTAACTTCACACTTTGGGGCTCCGTAGCTTGCGGTGACAATAATGACGTCTACATGTGGTTGTTTGTGGAAACTTTTAACACAATTAAAAGTTAAACCAGAACCCTACTTGTTTGTCGCGAAGTCATATGCTTCAGATGAAGCGGTGAGGCCCTCCTCGTTCACTCCACCAGCCACCACGATCTTGCCGTTGTGGATGATGGACCCAAACATAGCTCTGGGCGTCTTCATGGCCGCCAGCTCCCTCCACTCTGACTGCTTGTGGTTGTATGCAAACATCTTGCTGAGGGCTTTGCTGTGGAGATGAAGGGAGGACTGTTGATGCATATTGTTAGAAAAAGCACCTTCCTTCCACATGAATCATGAAAAAGGTTTTTGGGCCTTGTGTATTTTCCTTTTTCCCCTGAAGGTTGAATTGTTTCCTCACTATTTCTGAAATGCACCCACTAAAGCTTATCATTACGTGCCGTGTTAAATCCTAAGGTTTCAGGACTTGCTTTGTTCATGTACCACTGCTGCATGCGCTGCAAAGTCAGTGAAGATTACAACACATGTCAGTAATGTTCAGACCCTTTAATATCACTGTATACACCAACAAGAGATGCACAGGATCGGTATCTTCTAGCAGTGTAATTGTTGTCTAAGTGCCGCGCAGCTCTGCAGTCTGGCAGAATGATAGACAACAAACAGCTGCTGCTCACAGCGTAAGGTCACACACACACACACACACACACATTTACTCACTTGTCATCCGTCTTTCCTCCGATGCAGTAGACCACTCCTTTGTGGGAGACGACAGCGTGGCCGTGGATCTTCAGAGGAAGCTTTTTGGTCTCACTCCACTTCATCTTCCTGAAGAATTGATATGCAAATAAAAAATTTTAAATATATGCTTAATTGATACATGTGGGGTATAGAGCCAAATCCATCTGTAAACATAAGTAAAGTTAAACATCCTAACTATAAACCAAAGAAAAAGCAGCTCTATTCTTATTGAAGAAACCAATTAAGAGGGTGAGATCACATCATGAATACCTAAACATCACAAATGTATTAAAGTAAGCGATATTGTTACTTTGCTGGAGTTAATTATCACCTCAGAACTGTATAAAAGGTGAGAGACAGGGTGAGAAATAAAGACAGAGGGAGGGAAAAGTGCCACTAACTCAACGTCGTAGCACATCACGGTGTCCAGAGACTCGTTGGTCTGGAGGTCTTTTCCCGCCACGGCGAACAGCAGGTTCTCGCTCTCTCCGACGTTGAAGAGGCATCGAGGGGAAGGCATGGGCGGCAGGGCGACCCACTCAGATGTGAGTGGATCCAACTGTGAAGAAAAGTACATTAAAACACTGTGTTAGCACCCGTTAGCTAGGTCTTATCGCCTCACAGACTTCTAAGTCACTAAAACTGTTTTATTAACAATAGTTGGACATATTTGGTTGACATAGCTTAAATAATATCAAGTGAAAGAAAAAAACATAGTTACCAGATAGAAGTAACATTGCAGCGGTACATCTTTGTTGTCCTCGTCCACAAACAGTCCTCCGATGAGGTAGAGCTGGTTCCTCTGTGACGCCAGGCTGACGTGGTTACGCGGCACCTGCTCCGACATGGCCGCCAGGTAGCACTCGTTCTCGCTGACATCGTACGCCACTGCCGCCGTGTCGTTGATCATGACGATGAATTCACGCGCGTACATGCCGTGTCTGCGGCTGTCATTCAGGAAGCCGGGGAATAGGCTGTCCACCTCGCCTCCCTCCGCGTCTGCCCCCTCCTCCCCATCCTCCTTCTTGGGCGTCTCTGGAAGCTTCCCCTTGAAGGCATCCCTGACGGCTTGGATCGTCTTCTGGAGCTCCGGGTCGGCCTTGATGATCTCGTCGGTCTCCACTTTGTCCTTGAAGTACTTCTCCGGCAGCAAGCGGAAGCGGACGCAGTTGAACGCATCCTTCAGGACCTTGACACGCTCCTTGTCGTGGCGGACCCAGGCCATGACCGTCTCGAACACCAGCTCCTCCTTCTCCACGTTCAGCGAGTCTCCACCGATGACGGCGAACAGTTCGTGGGCGGCGAGCTGGAGGAACTCCTCGTTTTGGTAGAGGAGTTCGAAGCGGTCGGCGATGTAGTTGCGCGCCGCCACAGCGAGCCTAGGACAGCTGATCACCAGGCCCATCCTGAAAATGGCCAAGCAGTTGGTCAAGGACAACTTCTTCTGAAGGTAGTTGACACACACCGTGAACACAGAAGGGATCTGGAATCTGTTCGCCACAGCAATTATATCCTGGACGTTGTCATCGGTGAGGTCAATCTCGGCCGAGTAGAGGTACTGGACGACCATGTCCAGGACAGAAGGGTTGACATCCTCCAGGACCACCTCCTTGGTGTTCTCCACCTCCTTCCCGTCCTCGGTGAAGAAGATCTCCCTGAAGTAAGGGCTACAGGCGGCCATGATCAGCCGGTGGCAGGGGAAGCTGCGGTCGCCCACTTTCAGGGTGCAGTCCACAAACTTGTTCTCATTCAGCAGCTCCTTCAGCCCGTCCTGAAGCAGGGTGCTCTGGAACAGGCGCAGCTCCTCCTTGATGGCATTGGGGTCCATGGCGGGCGAACAAAAGGGGGTCTGTGGAGAGAGGAAGGAGACGGGGCGGCCACAGGTCCTTTTGGCAGTCGGTCCTGGCTGGAAAAGGCAGAGCAGAGAAAAGGTTCTCAGAGTGAAGACCCAGCAATTTAATCCCGTCCCCCTCTCTAAATATAGCTCCTTCTGCCCCCTGCCTGCTTTGGCTCCACTGGAATCCGACTGGGCCAAATCGCAGCGCAGCTGCTGTCACAGACTGAAAGAAGCAACTGGCCACTCAGGCTGGGGCTATGCCATCATGATTCAGCTCCCAAAGTGTCAGGTGGCCGACGAGCAGCGGAGACAATGCTGTCAAAGCCCTCGAATAGCTCGTTCTCAAGCTGTACCTATGACAGGGAGAGATATTTAGAGCAACCGTGGTCATGTTCAAAACTATGTGTACATAGATCCCTTTCGTTTATTTCTGGGTTTCATTCAGTCATTTTTTTCCAATAGGGCTGCAACTAACAACTACTTTTTTACTGTCAGTTACTTTCTGATCATTTTGTCAGAACCCAAGGTACAGTCTCTAAATTACTTTGGTTCAACCAACAGTCCAAACACCCAAAATGTTCCCTTTACTATCGCATACGATAAAGAAAAGCAGCAAGTACAACATTTGAGTAAGCATTAGGTATCTTTCATCTAAATAATTCTCCAGATTCTAAAGTAACTAAGATCCACACGTTCTAATTTCTAAAGTCCAGTTAACATTTTGTTTGCAGGTTGTTGTTTTTTATGATTCGTTGGTATTTTTAAGCTTTCCTTCAGCACTTCACAGTTTCTTTTGTCTCAGCTGAATCTTTTGCTATAATTCCTCAAAGGAACCCCCAAAATCAACACCTTATTTTGTCTCATCTTATCACAGCGTGGCATTGTTGAAGTGGGATTGAAGAGCACAAAAACATTGAGCTAAAAATGGACCAGAAATGTTTGGGTGCAGCAGCTGTGCGCAGAAACAGGTGAAGCTGAACATACAAGCACTTCTGTCAACCAATCAGCACGCTTCTCCCTTTTCCCTGTGGGTTGTATAATAGACCAGCCGGTTGTGTGACAGTGTGAGAGAGTGAGAGAGTGCTGCTCTGCTCTTTTAAAACACACTCAATCAGTTCATTTCTGAAAATGTTTCCTCAGTGTTTTTCTTTCTTAAATGGTGTCAATTCGCTCAGTCACACATTTTAGCACAAAATGTTTTTAAAAAAAGGCCGTTACTGATGTGTGGACCAATAAGATCTTGTATTGTTAAGTCTTTATTTTTGTGGCCTGATAAAGTGTGAGGAGTGTGTAGAGTGAGGTAACATTTGTCCCGTGGGCAGCACTAAAGATAGATCAGACTACTTGTCGAGGAGTGTCTAACATGTAATTTAAGCAGAAGGGGAGAGCAGATTTCTGCGTAAGAAAACTCTGACACTTCCCCAAAGCCACTGTAGATGAAAGAGTAACTGCACACTTCACTTAAAGATATGACCGTGCTGTGATTAAACACATCAATGCTAGTGTTAATAATTACATTTCTTACCAAAGATTGTTTTATAAAATCAGCATTTCACAGTTGAAAAGGCCTCAAAACGCCATCTACTGTTTCAAATCAGCCCTAATCATCAAGGTCAAATCTGAGATAGAGTTGAATCGTGTGAGACTAATCGACGTCATGGAATAAAAGAACGTTAACGAGTTCTACTCAGACCCCTATCCTCTCATCTGGCCACACTGACCACCGTGTAGCTCTACAATCACAGCACGTTCTCTTCTTTCTGTGGACTGGAAATGAAGCTATCGGCACATTAAAACGTCTGGTGAATTAATGGCTATCTGGTGACAGCAATGTGCTTTCCATTGTGAAACTGTGTGGAGACGAAGCATTCATTTTTTCGCATTTTCTAGTGGCTGGCTACTTAGCTAGCTAACGTTAGCTTGCTTATTCAACTGTGTTTTCATTCATAATTTAAGAGGAACCATAAGGAATAAACATTTAATATCTCAATAGAACGTTATTGTTTCCCCAATGCGCGCCAGCAAAATAATTTGATTAGCAATCGCTGCATTAAAAGTGAAATTTATCGCAAACAAATGATTCCCTCCGTTTACCCAATATTCCAGCCATTCTGTATCATGCAAAATAAAAGAGTAACTTGTAAGCTAATACAATTTTCATACAGTCCCTTACCATGAATGTGATGCATCGCACATACTGTATTCGTTTGGATCAGATTTATTAAAAATGTTTGACATCAAATGTCCATGTAACAGTACAGTATGGATGGATACAGTCAGTACAGCTGTGTAGTGCAGTGACAAACCAGCTGCTCAACAATGGAAGTACAGTTCTAGTGTCTTGCACTGTAGTACCGACTTCAGTGACATCAGCATGTGATACCCAGTAGAGGGCATCAGTTTACTGTCGAACAAACACAGACAGTTAGTGGTAAGAAAGAAATGCAATCATGTAAAACACAAAACATCACATTTTCATTCAGAAAATCAAAAAAACAACAAAAAAAACAACATTCAAGCACACACAGTTATTCCATGAAGTTACAGAGCATCAGTCATTTTTTTTATATGAAAGAATAACAAAATATATTTTATTATTATAAGTGATGAGGCTTCATTAGTGTGTTATTGGCTCTTTGTGGTTATGCGCTTTTACACCTACAGTGACTGAGTAAAGAAGCATAGCTACACTATCTCTTTATGACATATTGACTGACTGATGCGATTTATGCTTCTGGCATTTTTTACTGGCCAGTCCTCTTATTCACACTCTCTGCCGCACTCGCAGACTGTGTATGAAAAACATGATCATGTCGGAGAGATGCGGGAATCCCTGGGGAAGTGGACAAACAGAGTTAGTGTTCTCGTCTGTATTCCTGATGAGGAGTGGTGGAGTATCTCCTGCGTTAGATGCCGATATAAAAGTACAGAACAGCGGAGGTATCTATCAGAGCTGGGCTCCCTTTCACTGTAATTATAGGAGGACGATTTTACAATAAGTCGGACAAGAGGGGGCACAAAGAATGGAAAGAGAAATGTAACCGTGATGCGGTACATCACTGTACATGTATATGCCTGAGGACTGTGCTGAAACTTGACATAACCCTGTGGAAAAATGGCTGGTATTAGCTGCCCCTCCTTGAAGTATTTATAGCAGATGTGAGGCAGATGCCTTCACTTGGCCTCCTGGAAAGAGAGAACATATGAGAGAGTCAATACTTTGAAACATTTGGAACCGATAAAATAGTTATGGCCTCATTTTGGGTAAGGAAAAAAAAAAAAAAAAAGAAGAAAAAAAAAAAAAAAAAGAAGAAGAAAGAAACAGGTGTGAATGATATAACTGCATTAGTATGGCAGGGATGAGTCATGAGAGTGTACCGGTGGATCAGGCGATCACACACGTCCTCTTGCACTCCTCCTCTGTGTCGTAGCGGTTCCTGTTGCCGTTGCAGCCTCCGTACCAGAACTGGGCGCAGGCGTTGGCCTGCTTGTCGTAGTACCAGCGGATGTTATAGTCCCGACACGTGCCCTGGTCCAGGATCAGGCCGCAGCGGGGGTCCAAGTGTACAGTCTCTGCAGGGGGAAAAAGCAGCCTATGAGCCTATGAAATCATCCGCACCGCATCAAAAATAACTGGCCTTCCCTGCTCCTCACCTGCGTGACCTCATTACTGAGCCCGTCAATCACAAAGCACTTATCACTACCCAGGAGTCACTCCTGCCACATGTTCTCTAAACATGTTCTCTTTGTGAAAGGCGATGAATCTGACACTCACCTCTGACGTCACAAGCAAACACGGAGGCGGCCGAGCCGAAAACGGTGACGGCAAACAGCGCTAACAACGGCAACAGTGCTGACGAAGCTAAACGTGTTTACCTGGCGTGGTTTGGGGCAGAACTGAAAAATGTCCTCATGAATTGACTGTTGAAATCTTCCAGAGGACAAAGATTTCCTGCTGGAGTGAACAGAGCTGAGGAGTTTGATTGGTACAGTTGCTCCCTCAGCCATGTTTTATATTTTTGAAAAACAAAGTTGTCCATTTACCCAGAATTCATGGCAAATGAGTTCCTGTTTTAGACAGCCGAGATCTAGACAGCTAATTGCAGTGAGGATCGCTCTTCCAATACATCTTACACAGTTACATTAGTTTGACACGTGATTTGAACTTTTAGAAATTAAAAAAACAAACGTGCCCTTAGACTGAATTCTATGACCGTACACCAATATTAGGACAGCTGCTCTTAAATATTCCTCTTTTCTTTCAGTAATATATTTTAAATTTAAATAAAGTATGCATTATCTAAACGTAGAAGAGCAGAATAGACTGTACCTTTGGGGAGAGCTGGCCTCCGTGCAGGCTCATGCTGTATGGAGACACCTGAGGATGATGCGGTAATTTTTGTAGAAGAAGACGATGATGACGATGAGGAGGAGGAGCCTCGCGTACTAGAAGAGTCCTCTCTGGCAGGAGTTCTGATGACTGAGGTGTTGCGGTGAAATGTGTCCCCGCGTGTCTCTGTGAACACGCTCCCTGCTCCTCCCTGCCGGTGACAAAACCAGCAGTGTTAAACAGTTTTATCACGATCTTTTATTAATATACGTACACTCATATGTTCCGTACATGTCCAGTGCTGGATCCTTTGCTGCCATGCTGGGTGGTCTCTACCCGGCCTCCGTGGCTGTGAGTGCTGGCGCCAGTGTTGGTGCCGGACTGACGGCCGCTCAGTACTTCCTGCTCCGTCGCCTGCCGGTACCCATAGCCACCGGCGGCATAGTTGCCATTCTTGTTGCCGTTGGTTATTCTGTTATATATCAGGGCTCCGTTCTCGTCCTCACAGAACTGGCTGACCAGCTTGGATTCCAGCGCTGAGAAAGGAAGACACGGAGAGGAGAAGTCAGAGCCAGGGGTACAGGGCGTGTTGTCTCTAAGGATAGAAGTGGGTTTTCAATCCTGGCGGGCAATTATAAAAATTCCACCGCTTTTCTTGGCAAGACTGTAGACTCTTAGTCATGTTAAAGCGTTCCTAGCTCGTTGAGAACGCTCAGGAAAAGATGAATTACACTGGGTTTAAGCCTGGGCGTATATTATAACTATTGACGTAGTTTAACGCCAAAACACCACCAAAGATGCGTCTCTCTAACCTGGCAGGGTGTTGAAGTCATCAATGAGGAGCATGTGCTCGCTGTCCGGGTCAGAGGCGATGAGATTGAGCTCTCTCATGAACTCGGCCTGCGTTGGGTCTGAGGTGTTCACGATCCCCAGAGCAAACATCTCAATGTTGGTGGCGTGTGCTTCTCGTACAGCTATGTCCAGCTTCACGGGCTCCCGCTTGTCCGTCTGCCCGTCGGTAATCACGATGGCCACTTTGCTGACCCCCACACGCGAGCTGTAGAAGGCCTCCTGGGTGGCTTTACGGATGGCCGTGCCGGTGTAGGTGCCCTCTCCCATGTATGGGATGTTCCTGATGGCCTGCTTGATGTCCTGTTTGGTGACGTAGCGGGCCAGGTTGAACACCAGCTTCACCTCCAGGCTGTACAGCACCAGGCCAATACGGGTGGCGTTGCGCCCCACCGTGACTCGGTCCACCAGCGCGTTGACAAAGTTCTTGATGATCTCAAAGTTCTCTGGGCCCACGCTCTCTGAGCTGTCAATGACGAACACCAGCTCCATGGGCCTCTCCTTACACTTGATCCCACATCCTGGAATCACATCACATCGTATGAGATCACGGCTGAAATGTCACTTTGACGAGGTCCACCCCGCGGAATCTGATCTAATGACTTACAGATGAGATGAGACCGTGGCTCAGATTCACAAACGGAATCTTCTCTAATAACAATCTGTGCTGCTAAGTCAATACTGAGGGGTGAAATAAATATTGCAAAGATCACAAGATACTTTACCGCAGATCTCTTTGATTATCCGTATGATGTCCTCTCTCTGAAATGAATACACCAAGACAGTGTGAGTGTATAAATAAACACGAGCGGCAACCGAAAGTCAGCGGTGAGAAAGGTATCCGGATGCTTTACGTGTGTAAAAATAGCAATATTCTTTTCATGGAGCGCTTCATCCTCCAGTTTATTAGAAGCATTCTAATTCAAAATCAAATCAATTTGGAGATGAATGGCTTTCACTGGACAGGAAGCGTATGAAAAAGTGTCATCTGAAAAGTAACTAGTAACTATAGCTGTCAAACAAGTACTTCAAATTTTGACTTGAGTAAATGTAGTGTAACTGGAAGAAGTATATAAAAGAAGGGGAAGACTCACAGTGAGGCCCGCTTCACCTTTGACACCAGGTCGGCCCTGAGATAAGAATACACAGTAGTTGTATTATCATCAACGTGGACAAATATTTGTGATATGAGTGATAAGGATCAGAGCATGATTCTCACGAAGCAGTACACAATAAATGGACATCATGAGGGTCACTCACAGGGTCCCCCGAGGTTCCAGAATCTCCCAATTCTCCTTTGATTCCCTTCAGCCCCCTCTCCCCTGCCGAGCCGCGGTCCCCCTGTCACACGTGGCAAAACGTCAGCGATCGCAACGTATCACAGCATGTGCACACAAACCCACATTCAGAAGTCCTGCACAGCATGACGACTCACTTTAGATCCAGCAAAGCCTTCTCCAGGAATCCCCCTGGGCCCTGTCACGCCCTGGGACCCCTGTTCACCCTGAATCAAACACAGGAACGACCTACTTTGAGTGTGCGGGGCACTTATAGAGCTCTCACATAGAGTTTACAGACACATGGACTTCTACAGGAAGAACAACAATTATTGGCTTACCTTTGGTCCTTGGACTCCTTGTCCTGGTGGCCCTGTTGGCCCTGGAGAGCCAGGCCGCCCAGGGTTACCCTGCAGTACAGAGAACACAGTCACATCACATTGGGGTGGACTCCCCACGCAAGCATTAGGCACCATTGGCCCTCTCTTACACATTATTGCTTCTATATGCTTCTTCAACACAGCATGATGATCATTCAGTAAATGATGGTCCTGCGCAGACTTGTCCAGCCCGCGATCTACCATGCATGTGTGGAACACGAACTCCAGAGAATAACATAAATACACAGCCAAAAAATGTATATTATATATTATATATTAGCATTTTTGGACGGTACCAAATACTACTATGTCAGTATTTGTCAGGCACACATTACTATTGCAAAAAAAGTACTTTTTTAAATCTTCAAACATGTTTTTGTAACAGAAAGCAACAGAAAATAAAACCTGAACTCTGAAGTCTTGAGCGAATATGTAACAGGCCAGCCCAGCCAAGTATCCCACATGTGGAACCAATGATTCCTCTTTCTTGAACAGATATTAACATTTATATGAACAGCCTGTCATACATCTAGCAAAAAGCATTTCAAGGTGAGGATTATCCCCGTCTCATGAACCTGAGTCATTAATTTCTGACACCACCATTCTCTCAGTGTGGATAAGGGCTGGAGTCTGCCAACATGACGGCTTTAGTTGAGTCCTCAATTAAATCCTGCCTTGCGCTGAATGACTGTGACAGTGCCCGGACCTGCAGAAACACTGGTCTGAAGCCTGCAGGGACTCTGGATGGGGTATTCGGGGACATGTGGGTGTTGCTCCTCATCAGACACATACGTCTGTGGAGATTCACATTCTGCACCAATGTGTCAGAGCGCTGTGGGGGGGACTCGTGATGAATACCCCGAAACAAATGAACTGTCAGCCTTTAGGATATAAGGCCCCTGTGGTCGGCATGTTCGCACAGAAGACGAAGCACTCTTTTTTTTCTGCTTTACTTTTGGAACTCTTTGACTACAGCAAAGCCGTAATCCTTCAGAGGATACGACTCAATCACATCCACTTGGTTGCATGTCAAAATGAAATCACGGCGGGCTTTCTGCGCAAGTAAACACGTCGCAATGTTGTCCTTGACTCGTGTTTGCAGAAACAGTCAAATCTGAGAAGCTATGAAGTACCAGAGGTCCTTGGAGGCCTTCGCCCGGAGGTCCCGGTAAACCAGGCAACCCTCGGAAACCAACATCCCCCTGTAAAGGACAAAACAGTGGAGATATATAAACAGCAATTTACAATCCATTAAACAAATGACTCCCGTGCTGAGCAGAATCGTGCTTCCTTTAATTAGTTTCCTCAAATGAATGACCTCATCTTTTCACTGGGGAAATACCTTCACTATCTTCAGTGTGGACTCACACATAGCTCTGAAATGGATTTACAAAACTCACAGTATTGGACGTTTGCTTTGGCCCAGTTTTCACAGCAGAGGTTCATTTTGCAGAAGTCATAACGACATCTGTATCATATTACATCGCGCTGTAACGCTCTTCTCATTTGCCACCGACATGCACTTACTTGACAAACATTTTTTTGGGATCCGACGGGTCCAAGTTCTTACCTTCGGTCCGGGGATGCCCAGTCCTTCCTGGCCGGGTTCTCCTGAAAGTCCAGGCAGACCAGGAGGGCCCTGAACAACACAGCACATGAAGGTAGAATACACTCTCAGAGATGGTGAAACGATTGACGGAATCATTCAACGCTAACACGCTAACACCAGCATCCAAAATCAAATATGTATGAGTCATTGCTCGTTTCATAATCTAAACAAAGGACATGTTTTCTAAATTGAGCAGAGGTGAAACTTATCAAAAATATTCTGTTTTATCCAATCCGGTTGTCATAAAGTGAGCTTTAAAGTTGCTGGTACGCAGATTTTGTTACATTGCGACAGAGCCGGGCTAGCTGTTTCCCCCTGTTTCCAGTTTGTATGCTAAGCTAAGCTAACTGTCTCTCCTGGCTGGAGCATCGCATTTAAAGTACAGACATGAGGGCTGTATCAATCTTCTCATCTATCTCTTGGCAAAAGAAAAACATGTAAATATACCTATTCCCCAAAATGATGAACTGCTCCTTTAAATGTCTTCCATAGTAACCACATATACCCCTACTAGCTCAGATGCAATTCCTTTGCCCCTGATTCCCCTACTGTGTCTCCTTGCTGTGTTCTTAATTAAGGTAGAGGTTTATGAGGGTCAGGTACTGTAACTTCTGGTAATAAATATGGATATATGGCTGGAACTGATGGGTGGAATAAGACAGGTAAAAGACAGATGGATGGACGACAGAATGTAATGTGACAGATTTATGAGTGGACACATGGGCACGTCAGTCTCTAAATCAGTTGCTCACCAAGGGGCCGGGATAGCCGTCTCCTTTGGGACCGAATGGACCTGCTGGGCCTGAATCTCCACGGTCCCCCTACGGCAGACAAATATTCCATTCAGGGGAAGGATACAAAGTGATTTACAGATAGATGTTCAAAGCAAAGGAAACATGTGCTTTCTGCTGCTCCCCATGCTTCTGTATTGTGCAGTACATCACATTTTGAACAAATGTTGGCGCAAGGACAGCACGGCAGGATGAATGCATCCCCCGCCATCGTCTCCGTTCTTAAGGATGCTGGGATATAATCTTCTTGGATTCTTGGCAGAATCATTACATTCACGTAATTGACTTTCCAAACAGACTGTTCAGCTACGATGGCAGGCTTTAGGTGTGTGTTGACAGGCAGACATCCAAGACGTGAGTAACAAACTGTTGTGTTTTAGAATAGAGGGTTAGAATGAGTGTTACCTTTGGACCAGGAAGTCCGTAGCCAGTCTCGCCAATCGGACCAGGAAGACCACTTGGGCCAAGATCCCCCTAGAACACACGTTAGCACTAATCAACTCTCGATTCTAGATGAAGGAAAATATTGTGAACAATGCCCAATTTAAAATAAGAAAGGAAACATGTTAACTAGAAACAGTCGCTAGGGCTAAGAGCTTCATCCGCAGTATTGTAAACTATTTTAAGAAACAATTGTCCTTCTCTTGAAGTGAGGAGTATGGAGATCATGAACAATCACAATCATTATTGGGAGCAGTTACCTTGGGCCCGGAGACGAAGCGGCCCGGTGGACCGGGTAAACCCCCCCTTCCTTGTGTTCCTGGTTCTCCCTGAAGAAGATTAATGCAAGACAAGTGGTTGAAATCATTAACTCACATCTTTTCTCCCCATTAATTGATTAGCTATTTAATAGCTATTTAATAGCTAATCAAGCTCAACAGTTTCTCACCTTTGGTCCGGAAGGTCCGGCAATGCCATGTGGACCCGTCAAGCCCCTTATTCCTCTTTGGCCTTGGTCGCCCTTAAAGATCACATTGGGAATACATTCACTAATCCGATAGCAGCTGTGACGTTCCTCATTATATAAAGGTCAGCAAAGTCCAAGACATGCAAAAAAGTAAGCAGGAAGTGTCACTTTTCTTTTACCTTTTCACCCTGGGTGCCGATTCCAGGTGCCCCCTCTGACCCCCTGAAACCTACAGGTCCTGGCTCACCCTAAAGACACAAACATACACTTTTTTTATTACTTTCACTGGTTTCATATCGGAGGAAACAGACACATGTAGATACAGTAGGAGGGGATTTAAGCTACCTTCTGTCCAGGGCCTCCGTCCTCCCCCGGCAGACCCGGCAAACCAGACAGCCCCGTTGACCCTGGCTCACCCTGAGGACAGATTCGTGGATGTGTGTCTGGTAAATTGAAGCACTGTCAAAGTATAAATGTTTGCTGCTGATGTGAGTTTTTACTTACCTTAGCTCCAGCGTCTCCAGCCCCTCTCTCTCCTGGGGCGCCAACCTCGCCCGGCAAACCTTGGTCCCCCTGTGTGAGACCAGACAGCATGACAACGGCGACTTAATCTCTTATTATACACTTTGACGTGTAGCTTTGAAAGAATATTACTCCTAGTTTAAAAAAATACTAAAACATGGTGATGGTGATGTATGTACAGGACCTTGGATCCAGGAAAGCCCTCTCCTTGTTGGCCTCTGCCACCTGGTGGCCCCCTTGGTCCTTCAACGCCCTACAAGGATTAATGGAGACATTAATGAAAAGAGACATCGATTAAAAATAAACAGAAAATATTACTAGCGTCTTGCTTTAAAAAAAAATAGAAACATAAGGTTAAGCCCCGTTTCCCACCCCAATCCTTTCTGTACAGTCCCTAAAAATGATTCATGGGATGAAAGAGTGACATGCAAAAGTGTAATTGTACGGCAAAGTGGGAGTCATTTCATTCAAGCACTTGCCTTCTCGCCCTGTATTCCTGCTCCTGGGAGGCCGAGGGGCCCTGGAAGACCCGGTGGGCCAAAATCCCCCTGCAGGTTCAGATATGAAGGGACGTTAATGATGATAACAGCGTGAGAAGTGTCGATAGCATGACGGGGCATCGCACTCGGATGCCAACTAGGACATTTCATGATTTATTGCATGTGGAAAGCACCCAAATGTTCAGGAGGTTGTTGCCAAGATCCTGTGCGCTTCCTCTTGGCTCAGTAATGGATGCATGTAGCTAAAATCCTTTTCATACGTATAAATCCTACGTCGTTTCATCTGTCACATGCAACATCAACGTCATAGACCGCTGATGTAAATGCGCAGAGAAGCCTGTGGGCACTGGTTTGTCATTACAACACAAAAACATTGCAATTATCCGTGATGAACTTCAACACCAGGCTACAGTAAAACTGTCAGCACGATCTCTGCCAGGAACTCCCAGGAAAACAAATCTTTGTTTTAAAAATACTTTTTTCTGGGTTTTCATTCATTACCAAATGTTCCAGCGACACAACGCGAATCGTGTTACACATTTTAAAATCGTGTCTCGCTCCATCATAGCCTAAAGGATTGCCAGATGGCTGTGAAGATCTGCGCACACATCCTGATTGAGAGAACCTTTCTGTATTTGTGTGCCAGTGCAGAGCTGTAGCTTTCCCACAGCCCAAACACTGTGAAGCTGCACTCCTCCTACACTGGGCTCGAACCTTGATTCATCACCTGCGGACTGTGACCTCCTATATAACACCAGAGACGCTTCGTGTCCGTGTGAAGGCGTCTTATTTACAGCCGCTTTGCACTCTACCTTGTCTCCTTTGATTCCAGCGCCCGGCTGTCCTCTGAGCCCCCGCGGCCCGTCCAAGCCTCGCTCCCCCTGTGGAGACGGACAGAAGTTATTGCAACTTGCCTTTTGAAATAGCAGTTAATATATGAAAACAAAGACAACGTAAATGCAACGGGAAGGCCAGAAAATGCATAATCTGATATCCACATGAAGCCACATGTGCTCACTGATTGAGCCTTGGGTAAAAACATTCCTTTTTAATTATTGTTTATGGTTACATGTCAATCTTGGACTGAAGTCGATGGACAGCACTGTTTACAGAGACAGTACCCAGACGGTGACATTTCATCGTCGGATAGTTTTGGCACCATCTGTGAGTGAACTGTTACCACAGAGACCAACACAATGCTCTTCAAAGTCACTGTGAGTTATTACAAGGCTCGCATTTGACTTTAAAGACCCCTCAACCCCAACATGGTGTTCCTGTTGGTTACCACCATCTGACATTTACCGTATAAACTGATTTAAAGCGTCTACACAGTTTGTCATCAGAGGGCTGTTTCAACATTCCTCGCCTGAAGGGGGGAGGCTTCTCTGTCCCGGAAATATAATTTATGTGAGTATGTGAGATGTATGTTCCTCCTAATTGCAAGTAGGACTATCTCCAGATACGTGGTACTACAGGACACGCTTACTACATGACACGTCCTCAAAGCAGTTGCAGTTTGGTTAAGTTTCAGCACCTAAACTACTTGTTTGGGTTTAGGAAAAGATCGAGGTTTGGGTTGAAATAAGTAATAAATCCCAAGTGGGCGTATATTGGAGTACAGTGGGTGTGTCTTGTAGTTAAGTGGGCGTATCTTGGAGTACAGTGGGTGTGTCTTGTAGTTGAGTGGGCGTATCTTGAAGTACAGTGGGTGTGTATTGTAGTGGAGTGGGCGTATCTTGAAGTACAGTGGGTGTGTCTTGTA